GGAGGGGGCAATGAGAGAGGGTCCTGCAGGGGCGGAGGGGGCAATGAGAGAGGGGCCTGCAGGGGTGGAGGGGGCAATGAGAGAGGGGCCTGCAGGGATGGAGGGGGCAATGAGAGAGGGGCCTGCAGGGAGGGAGGGAGGGGACAGTGAGAGAGGGGCCTGCAGGGAGGGAGGGAGGGGGCCTCAAAACAGCAGATTATCAGGCTTCTGTATGACAAGTGTTTGCGGAGAGTATTTGGAGGAGGTGTACTTACATGGACCCTGCTGCCTCCTGGCTTTGGGTCCAAGAGGGTCAAAGTGTGTTGCCTTCCTTCTGTGATGAAATCGGTCCAGCCACAGGCTGGAGAGATGGCTCAGAGCTCCCATAGAGGCCCTGGGCTCCGTTCCCAGCACTCATGACAGTTTACAACCATCTGTGACTCCAGTTTCAGGAGCATATGACATTTTTTTATGCCTTCCACTGGCACTGCAAGTGTGTGTGCACAGACATACATGCAGGCAAACATTCATACACAAGTAAATAAATCTTAAAAAGCAAAAACAAAGGAAGCGACCCGGCCATACATTTACACTAGAGAACTAGCTTTCTCTGCCAATTTCACCACCTCCGCCAATGCCCCAGCCTCCAGATGTTTTGTTTTTGTTTGTTTGTTTTTGAGACAGGATTTCTCTGTGTAGCTTTGGAGCCCATCTTTGGAACTCACACTATAAACCAGGCTGGCCTCGAACTCACAAGAGATCTGCCTGCCTCTGTCTCCCAAGTGCTGGGATTAAAGGCGTGCACCACCACTACCACACCACACCACACACACAGACAGACAGACACACACACACACACACACACACACACACACACACAGCTCTCCAGATGTTTTTATTCTTGTTTCTTTCCTTCTTCCTTCCTTGCTTAGGTTCTGGAATGAATTTGTTGCAGATCCAGGAAAAAGTCTGGTCCCAAGCTTGCCTTGGTGCCTGTGCCCCCCGTTTGGAGGAGAAACTCGGCTCACCTGTCCCTTCGTGCTCAGTTGTGGTAAGTCCTCTTTTCAGTGATGGCGCCTGTGGGGTACTGGCACTCTGGTGGAGCCTAGGAGGGTGTGCACATCCATGCACGTCCACACACACACACACACACACACACACACACACACACACACTTTACTTAAACCTAAACTCAACATTTGACATTTGACATTAGTCAGAATATCTGACTATCTGGATTAGGGACTTGTCCACAGCAGAGCTAGATTTCCAAACTCTCGGAAGGATTTTTGGGTCTGCACACCTAGGGGTAAAAGTGCACCATGCTGAGGTTCTGGGCACTGGCATGGAAGAGGGCAGCGGGCAGGCTCTGGAAAACATAAGCGCTAAGGACCTGGTAGACCACAGGCCCTGGCATCACACTGACCGAGATTAAACCCCGGCTTTGCTCAGGCCTGCCTGCTTATGGTTCGTTGTTGGTTTTGCTTTGTTTTGTTTGGAGGCAGGGTCTCTATAGAGGCCTTGATGGCCTGGAACCAGGCTGGCCTAGAGTGCGCAGAGACCCACCTGCCTCTGCCCCCCCAGTGCTGAGGTTGAAGGTGTGTGCCACCGTACCTAGCCCAGCCTGCTTCTGTTTAATCAGTGTTCCCGTTTCCTCATCTGGGAATAATCCTGTCCCTCTTACAAGGCACCTGTGCAAGTGAAATGAGACGTAGTATATTTGGAAGGTGGTTGGACACACTAGTAAGTTTAAGGGCACTTGACCACGAGTATAGTGCCTCCCATTTGGAATGGATATGGACTGAACACCAAGTGTGATCCGGTTGGCCAGCCCTGTTCTTGACTATACAGAGGAGACATGGGAGTAAAGAGGGTCCATGGTGTCTTTTGGTACGCATGACAGACATATGAAGCCAGAACAATAAAAAAGAATCCCATATGGGACAGATGGCTGATAGTGAAGGAAGGAGGAGCCTCGGGTCACGGTCACGGGCCACCAGGAAGATGGGCTGTTGCCACGCTCAGGCATAGCCACTGTTTTCCCGTAAGATTCTCACTGACTTGTTACCATGGGCAGAACCCCAAACCACTGTTCCCCAGGTATTCTGTGAAGCCAGTACGCAGAGCTGAAGGGAGAGAAATCCTGCCCAGAGAAGCCTACAGTGCAAGACGCAAAGGCGTGGATGCCGCAAGCCAAAAAGACAGGAAAGGCATACAGATAACTGACAGCTTCCGTTTGAAACAGCGCAGAAGGCCAGACAGCGGTGCGGACATAAAAAATTACCAAGGCATAAACCAAGGGAGAATTAATTAAAACACAGAGGCCCAGTGTCCTGATAGGATCCCGCTGCTGAAAGACCATGGGAGTTCAGACTGCAGCCAGCAGGAGTTAAAGGAGTTGTGTGGGGTCCCCATGAGGGTGGGCAGGTGGATACCAAGTTACCTCCTGAGCAATGAATGTTACAGCATACATTGTTTTATTTGAGACTGGGGCATTTGTAACATGCCATGTTCATTAAGAATTAGGCTTCCACTGGGCCTTAATCCCAAGGTGGATCCAAGGCCAACCTAGTCTACAGAGCTAGTTCCAAGACAGCCAGGGTTACACAGAGAAACCTGTCTCAAAAAAAAAAAAAAAAAAAAGTAGTATTCAAGCATGGGGTGGTGGCCTAGGCCTTTGATCCTAGCACCAAAGGGTAGAAGCAGGTGGATCCAGACCAGCCTGGTCTACATAGCAAGTGCTAGAACAGCCAGAGCCACACAGGGAGACCCTGTCTCCAAAAACAAACAACTAGAAAGTTAGGCTTCAGTTGTATATAAGATATCATGGCTCACGAGGGGTCAAGCCCCAAGTAAGTGGATGTGGCCTGATTGTTGAAGTGTGGAAATTTTGCTTTTATTTTTTTTATTTTATTTTATTTTATTTTTTTTGTCTGTACACTGAGCCCCTGGAATATTACTGCAATCAGTGGACTTTTGTTTTATCTGAAATGGAGACCAAGTCTTTGTCTAAGGCTTTGCCTAAGGCTTTGCTCTCCCTACACCAAGAATGCATCTAAGGGAGTCTTTTTCAGAGGCGAGTGCTGAAGGAATCGGAAAGAACCAGTTCTGAAGAATGCATTTTTTACTAACAAACCGTGCATCAAAAGTCATGGTGGCTTCATGCAGGCGTCACCCCTGCTGGAGCCATACTTTCTGTATTGGACGTCCCTGACTCATGTGTCCTATGAGTGTGTAGGGCAGCCATCATCAAAAAGGCATGGGAACCAGTGCGGGAGTGACTGCCTCTGGCTTGTACCCAGAGAGACCATCCTCAGGACCAATCAATCCCAGCTTCCAGAGATTCCTCTGTGGCTTCAGCCTCTGTGGCCTTTGGGGTGCCCAGTGGGACAGTGGACTCTTGTTTTCTCTAGTCTCCTAGGTCACTCCTCCAAGGTAACCTGCTTGCAGGCCCATCACTCGCTGGCTTCTGAGGCAACCCAGGTCAAGATATTTCTTTTCCCAGGGGATGGCTTGTGATGGAAACAAACATGGCTGGAACCAAGATGTCTTCCCCTACACTGGGGGAAAATACTTTAAAAACGTGTTTCTTGCCAGGTGGTGATGGTGCACACCTTTAATCCCAGCACTCGGGAGGGAGAGGCAGGCAGATCTCTGTGAGTTTGAGGCCAGTCTGGTCTATGAAGTAAGTTCCAGGACAGCCAGGGCTACACAGAGAAACCCTGTCTCAAAAAAACAAAACAAAACAAAACAAAAAAAATATTGTTTCTTTGAGGCAATCTTATTTTGTAGCCCATGCTGACCTAATGCTGTGTATTCCAGACTGGTCTTGAATTTATGACCATCCTCCTGTCTCAGCTTCCTAGGTGTTGGGAGTATAGGCATTAACCACCATGCCCTGCCTTTTCTAACTTCTTTCTATATAATAATTATCTCTTTGGGAAGAGATGATCTCTGCTCTTGTTTTAAAGGAGTCCCCTACCATAAACTGCTAATTTTTAGTTAATTTTCTTTAGTTTTATTATTATTATTATTATTAATTTTTGAGACAGGACCTCTGGGATCCCAGGCTGGCCCAGAACTTGCTGTGTAGCCCAGGCTGGCCTTAACCTTTTCTGAGTGCTAAGATTACATGTACAGCACCATGTCTGTCTTAAAAATTTTTTTAAAGATTAATTTATTTTGCATGTGAGAGTGGTTGCCTACATGTATGTGCATTCACCATGTGCATGCGGTACCCACAGAGTCAGAAGATTCCCTGGAAATGGAGTTATGAGCGGTTGTGAGTCACCATGGGGTGCTGGGAACTGAACCCAGGTTCTCTGCTGTAGCACTAAGTGCTTTTAACCGCTGAGCCATCTCTCCAGCCCCCTTGCCATGCCTGGTTTTTACAGGGTGCTGGGGTTCAAATCCAGTGTTTTATGCAGGCTAGTTGAGCATTCTGACAGGTGAACTACGCCCTTAATCTACCCCCTTTTTCTTAAGACAGTCTCATGTGGCAGGTTGGCCTTGAGTATGCTATCTAGTTCAGGCCTGCCTTGGATTTCTTTGTAGCCCAGGTTAACCCTGAGGTTATTTTTTTTTTAGAACATTGTTCTATGTACTTGCCTATCTGATTATTCTAGTCTGGTTGCTGGCATAATAAACAAGGAAGCAAGGCATTTGCTGTATCTGTGAGCTTGCTTCCCAATGCTCTGTTACTTTCTTCAACATTGTATCCAGAATTTGGTGTTCATAAAGTAGGTACAAGTTAGAGATTGCTATGTTCTAACTGCCCTCAATCTCAGACTCCCATGATTCTCTGGGTGACCTCAGGCCACCTGTTCTGGGCTCCTTCTGCTGGGTGTGGCTGGGAAGGATGATGGTGCTCCAGGCTCTGCCACAGATGCTCACGGCATCCTCATGGCCTGAGAAGATTCTTCAGCTCCAGTGACCTGGAGCCGGGGGTCTCCTGGGTTGTGGTGAGCATGGCTGTGCTGAGCAGGCTGTGGTTACATCAGCGGAACACAGGTTCTTTTTCTCCCTAGGGAGCCATTTCTTCCTACTATGTCCAGCGCTATGGATTCCCTCCGGCATGCAAAGTGGTGGCCTTCACTGGGGACAACCCAGGTAAATGCCTCAGGAGGATTTGATCTCCAAGTGACTGTTGGTTTGCTGGACTTCCTGCCTTTCTCCATAGATATCTAACTGAGATGGGGTCTCCCTCCGAAAGCCTGGATCTTCCTGTGTAGCCCAGACTGACCTCAGGTCCTCACGGTCCTCCCTCCCTGGGTATGGGGAATACAGATGTGAGCCACCACACCTGGTTCATACCGGACTTTTAAAGAATTACACTCGTCTTCTTGTTCATGTCTCTCTCGTGTGTGTGCAGGTGCACTTGTGTGTGCATGTGCACATGTGTGCGTGTGCATGTATAGACCAGAGGATAATCTCTGCTGTCTGCCATGCCTCATATGCTGCTTACCTTCCTTTTTTTAAGTAGGGTTTCTCACTAACCTGGAGCTCTCAGTTAGATTAGGCCACTTTGTGGTAGAGCCTCGAAGATCTATTAGGTCTCCACCTCTCCAACGCTGGGACCCAACATTGGGGGTATAAGGGCATGCCACCACGCTCAGCCCACAGTCCAGCTTCTTGATGAAGCCTTCTGTGGTGTTCTCTTTCCCTCTGAAATCTGACTCTGTCTCAACCCCAGTCTGGTCTTGACCTATTCCAGCTACCATGTCGGCTTCTCCAGCCCTTCCTTCAGGACACTGTTTTGAGGTCATTAGAGCCATAAACACAGTTTGCTTCTTGTTTCTTCTCCTTCAGGGACTCTCAAGGCCTCTGGTGTAGACAGAGACTGCACTTCTGTTTCCCAGACACCCAGACCTGAAAAATCACACAAAAACTGTATTAATTACAACACTGACCAAGGGCTCAGACATATTCCTTGCTAGCTCTTATATCTAAATTAATGCATTTCTATTCATCTATGTATTGCCAAGAGGCTGTGGCTTACCAGTACGGTTCTGGCATCTTTCTCTTTCGGCAGCTACATGACGTCTGCCAGACTCCAGTTTCTTTCTCCCTGCATTCAGTTTAGTTTTCCCACCTAGTTCAGTTCTGCCCTGCCATAGGCCAAAGCAGCTTCTTTATTAACCAACGGCAATCAAACACATTTACAGCATACAGAGGAGAATCGCGCATTGCTGTGGTCTCTGAAGAAAGACCAGTAGGCCACTCTGAGGAGTATGCTGTGTGCTCTACAGGGAAACCTACTCTTTGCCCTGAGAAAGCTTTGCCTTGTTGTCTTCAGTGCTTGGGCGTGCACACAGCCTTGAAGCCCATCTCTAGACGAGTTCACATGTTTCTGTCCCTGTCCCATTTCTCCTTCACTTGACATTTAGTGGGCACCAGCTCTGTGCCATGTCTTCTTCAGAGGTGGGTGTGTCAGCAATGGGTGCACAGAAAGATTGCTGCTGGGGACCCTGTGTCTGGGGGTGGGGCAGTCACCATGACCTCAGCCCTTCCTTCGTCCTGGTTGAGGACACCTCATAGAGTCAGCCAAACCTTGGGCTTCCCTGTCACGTATGTCTGGTCTGCTTGGTTCTCTGGACTTCTTGGAGAACCGGGTAGGGGTGGGGAGTTTCAATCCCTGAGAAAACAGACTTTTCAACCTAAATCAGGGGCCTTGGCTAGAACAGCTCATCCTTTGACCCCTGTCACCTTTGGAGCTCCTGGAACCCTCAGCTTGCTGAACTGTCGGTTAATGTCTGTGCTGCTGTCTGGGCGGTTATTGCAGTTTGCTCTGTGGATCACGTGACTCCTGCTAACCTGGCATTTCCCTCCCACCCTCAGCATCGCTGGCGGGCATGAGGCTGGAGGAAGGTGACATTGCGGTAAGGCAGCTCCTCACTCCTAGACTTTCTGTCCTAGGGGCCAAGGTGCTTAGCTACGTGTTTGCTACACATCAAAGGGGCTGCTGCCTCTAAGAACATGGTGTCCCACGGTCTAACCTTAGCTAGTCATTGCCCTTCTCTGATGTCAAGCATGGCCCTTGCCTGCTGGGCGTGGTGTGAAAGTGTTGGACGTGGGCTGGGGCGCTATGGACTCCCAGGTACATGGGAAGGTTTATTCTATGGCTTTCTACACCTAGCATGGAAGCCATTTGGGGAACCATTATTTTGATGATTTTGTATTAAGTTCTAGAAAGGTAGTCATGGTGCTCATGAGAACCTGGATCTGGGTTGTAACTTTACCTCATCTGGTATGGGGAGAGTCAAGAAGAAGTGTCTCTGAGGAGGTGGCAGTTGTCACCTGCAGTGTGAGGAATGGAGTGATTGGGTGAAGGGGTGGCAGGATGTGGCATGCATCCCTGGCAGAAAAGGAGCATTGGTAGCCACCGTAGGCACCTCACCCTCCGCTCTGCTCTCCTCAGGTCAGCCTGGGCACCAGCGACACCCTATTTCTCTGGCTCCAAGAGCCCACGCCTGCCCTGGAAGGCCACATCTTCTGCAACCCTGTGGATGTACAACACTACATGGCACTTCTGTGGTAATCCTGGACTCTCTGGGTCGGGGGAGGGAGGTGCAGACAGGTACAACCAAATCCAGATGGTGCAGACAGGTACAACCAAATCCAGATGTTGCGGTCTAGCCTGACCTGAAGACCCACTGCCCGGGACTCTTTCAAACCCCTGGGTCCAGTCTGCACATAAAGTCCAGCGGTAAAATCCTTGCTTAGCACATGGAGAACTTGGGTCCAAGCACCACCACAAGAGCCCAGGACTCATCCTGTGTGTGTTTCTGCAGCTTTAAGAATGGCTCCCTTATGAGAGAGAAGATCAGAGATGAGTCTGCTTCCGGTTCCTGGAACAAGTTCTCTAAAGCCCTGCAGTCCACGGAGATGGGGAACAAGGGCAACTTGGGTAGGCTGGGCCTGTGTACAGGGAATGGAAGACTTAGAGTGCCATGAGTTGGGGGCCTGGAGAGGTTTGGGGGGGTCCTTTCTGCCTACACTACTGTGGGCCCCAGGTTCTGAGGGTGGGGTCATGAGGCTGCTCTTGGCTGTGAAAGGTTAGACTCTAGCTGTATCCACCACCCCATCAAAGCCCCTAGGGAATGAGTTGGCCGCCCCAGGGTCTTCTGTGTCCTGCTGCTTCTCAGTGTGCAGCTTCCTGCTCCATACACAAGGCTGTGTGAGATAGGATGCCGCACCCAGGGTACCTCCTGAGGAAGGAAGGGCCATGTCTCCTGAGCACACCTCGGTTGGGGCTGGGGTTAGTGAGCTGCCAAGGGAAAGGGGTAAGAGTTACCTCAGGACAGCTAAGCCTTCCCAGTCCCCTCTGTTCTAATGGAGAGAAAGGATTGAGGATACCACAGGGCTCCTCGAGGGGACGGAGAGGCCTGAGGTAACTTTTCCTCGTCCTTTGTGAAGTCTTGTGAGAAGTTGTTCTTTGTTCTGGGTTGCTGACAGCTAATCCCTTCCTGGTTCTGTGTCAGGTTTCTATTTCGATGTAATGGAGATCACCCCTGGAATTATGGGACGTCATAGGTTTAACGCAGAAAACATTGAGGTACTTATGTTTTTGGTTTTCTTTTTCTGTGTATATGTTTGTGGTGTGCGTGCATGTTTGCATGTGTGTTGCCGCGTGTGCATGCATGTGGCAGGCAGCCCGAGGTTGACACTGGGAATCTCCCTGAGTTGTTCTTCCACCTGATTCATTGAGACAGGTTCTCTAAATCAGTCCAAGATCATTTAGGGGATTCTCTGTCTTCACCTTCTGAGGCTGGAGCTACAGGCAAGCCACCATGCCCACCTCGCATGTCTGGAGGCTCTACGGTTCCAGACTCAGGTCCTCCTGCTCACACCACAGACCCTCTAAGTGCCGAGGTAGTGCCCCAGCCCCAGACACATATGCTCTGGGTTTCCATTGACTCTGGTGTCCGGCCTCAGAGCATCCTGTTTGTAGGGCTCACTCATCTGCTCACCTACATGTGTGCTCAGGTCTATTCTAGAGGCTGCAGGCTCAGCAGGGGTTGACAGACCCCGTCCCTCCTCCAAGGAGAAATGCAGGGGACCAGAGTACGCTGTGATCTACTGTCTGTTCCCAGACTGGTGTCACTGGGTATCTCCTTGGTGGCCTTACCCTCCGCCTCCCAGTAGCCCTTGGGTCCTGAAGGCAGGAGTTTCTTCCTGGTGGGAAGAGCCTGAGGGGGAGACGGGAACATTCGCTGAGCACCATTGGCTTCCCGGCATCATCCTCTTTCTCTAAGCAACTCTGTAATGAAGGGATGATGAACCCTTTTTACAGAAGGCGGAGCTGAGGCCTCAGTGCCCTCCCAAAGTCACAAGGTCACGGATGGTGGAGGAAGCTCAAACCCAGGCCCTTTTTGTCACAAAAGCCACTTTTCTTTCATTTCCATGGGGCCCCTCCTGGGAGAGTCCCTGTTTGGGATGGATTTTTCTGGTTATTACCATGAGTTGACACCATGTTTTGGAGGTAGGAGCTGGAGGATGCTTGTGAACCCAGTGGCTGTCGGGGAACCTTGGTGAGAGATGTTCTAATGCTGTACTAGTCGGGGGACACGGCTTCGGTGTTGCAGACTACATCTTACACATTCCATAGAATGCTTTGGGTAGGATGTAGAAAGTTTTTGGGGCGTTGGTGCACCCCTTTAATCCCAGCACTTGGGAGGCAGAGGCAGGCGGATCTCTGTTAGTTCAAGGCCAGCCTGGTCTGTAGAGCGAGTTCCCGGACAGCCAGGACTGCGTAGAGTGACCCAGTCTCAAAAAAACCAAATAGACAAAAAGCAGAGGAAATTCATCCTGGTCATCAGGTTGGAGGCTCAAGGAAAAAGTTGGGTTCTTCATTCATTCTCTTGGTCGGTTATGAGTGTTTTTTTTCTATATTTGCTTATTTTGTGTTTGCTTGCGTGGATGTATGCACATCATGTGTGCCTGGTGACTTCAGAAATCAAAAAAGGACACCGGATCCCTGTAACTGGAATTACAGATGTTTGTGAGCTGCCGTGTTGGTACTGGGAACTGAACCCGAGTCCTCTGCAAGAGCAGTGAGAGAGAATGGCAGATTTACTTCTTGATCCGAGGGGCTGGAGGTCAGGCCTCAGCCTGGGGTGACTCCCATCAGAGCTGTCTTGACGCTTCACAGTTGTCATTGTGGATACTCAGGATAAGTTCACGGCTGTCACTCATCAAACATGAACTCCGAATCCTTAGCCCCGACAATCTAATCTGGTCATGTGACCTTGAAAATCAGGTTCCACCATTGTAGCCCTAGGTTAGGAAAGAGGACAAAACAAGAAGATCCACATGCTAGTCGAGGTCTAGGGGAAATGTTTAAGTCAGAAGCTGTGCCCTTGGCTGCCTGAAATCAAGCACCGTGATGTCACGGACACCTCAGAGTGGCACCCAGGTGAGGCGTGCATGTGAGGGCTGTGCCCGTGTGAAGATGTGACAGGTGAAATTGGTGGTTAAAGTAAGATCACTTACACATGTGTGAATGTTCTCTTGTGCATGATGCACACTCATGCACGTGCGTTCACACACACACGAGCACACTTGTACATACACAAGAACGCTCACAGTCCCTCACGCTGTGCCTACTCTCTGTAAACAGGTCTCAGCATTCCCTGGGGATGTGGAGATTCGGGCACTGATCGAAGGACAGTTCATGGCCAAAAGGATCCACGCAGAAGGGCTAGGCTACAGAGTCAGTAAGTGAGCGGCCAGCTGGGTACATTCTGGGGTTGGGGAGGGGCTGAGGTGAAGAGCTGAGGCCAAGAGATCAAGTCGTCACCGAATGCGGTCAGGAGAAGGCGGGTGGCCTCGGCCCTGGGTAGGGTGAGGGAGTGATCCAGGCAAGCGTGAGCAGGTGTGCAGCAGCAGGTCACGTGACCTGCTTCTCTGCTCTGTCACTGCTTACCTGATCTCTTGGTCATACGCTGTAGGCATTAGGAGAGGTCCTCTGGGGCCTCCCAGGTCCTACCAGCAGATACACATCCTGAGCTCTGAACTTGGGGATTTGGACAGTACAGGCAGAAGGGCTGTGTTCTGGGGCTGTGACAGCTTGGACCAGGAAAATTGGTCATGTAGTACCACTGCCAACACTCACAGGGCTGGTTGGAGAGGGCAGAGCCACGGCTTGGGGAAGGGATTCCTAAGAACTTAGCTGCAGAGCAGCGGGTCCCAGGGCTCAGTGATTCCCCACTGCTGATGGAGTTGGGCTATTATAAGGGTCTTACAAAACTGTACAAGCCCACTAATGTCCAGGTGAAACCCAGCATTAGGGAGGCAGAGGCAGGTGGATCTGTGAGTTCAAGGTCAGGCAGGGCTACATAGCCGGATCCTGTCTCAACAAATAAACAATAGCAATAACAAGATTCCCATGAAGCCTCTCTGCTTAGGAGTGCCCGTAGGAGGGTTTCGTGACCAGTTCAGGTTCTGTGTAGAATGTCTTATTGTCTTTGAACCGGCCAAGTAAAAGGATACTATAAAAAGAAGCCTCGGGAAACCTGAAAGACATCTACTTAAACTGAATATACTCCATGCCAGCAATTGTATTCTTATGTAGACACGCACAGCAACATACATGTATGTTCATTATGAAAAGAAAGTGTCTGTGAGAACATTCAGTGTGGCTGGAACATTCAGTGTGGCCCCGAAATGAAAGCAATCTAGTATCTATTGAGAATAGACAGAATGACGGGGTGTGGGGGCGTCTGTCATTCATCCCAGCACTCGAGAGGTGGAGGCAGGCAGGTCTCTGAGTTCTAGACCAGCCAGGCGACACAGAGAGACCCTGTCTCAGCAAAACAAAACAGAAATCAAAAGAAAACAAAAAAATGTAGACCTTATGTGTATTCATAGGATAGGTTACCACACAGAAATGGAGTGGACTCCCCTTAATTACACTCTTGTTGGTGGCACAGACTGGCACTGAGCAAAGGAAGATGGGGTTCAGACCCAGTGCAGACACTACCTGCTGCTGCTAAACCAGGATAGCTGGAGGTGGGTGTGGCTCGGGTGGTAGATGCTGCCTAACCCAAGGCCCTGGTTCCATTCCCAGCACCATATGAAATGAACATGCCAGCTCATATGTGCAATCCCACCACCAGGGATGTCTTGAGCTTGCTCTGTAGCTGAGGGTAACCTTGAACTCCTGACCCTTCTTACTTCCCCAAGTACTGGGGTTAGAAGTGTGTGCCAACACCTGAGTTTTTAGTACAAATATTAAAATAAGTAAGATAATTTCTATGTACTCCCTCATCTAACCATCCCAGGAACGTAGTCTTTGAGAAGTGAGGCTGTGTGATCAGGGCACAGAAGCTGGCTCTAATTGCCCAGCAGGGGTCTTTGGATCATAAGTAGGGAACATCTAGACATGGAAGGCCATCCCAGCAGCCCAGGGTGCAGGAGGAGGCAGGGCAGAGAGGCTGGGAGGGGTGTGTGGTTACTTCAAAGCAATTCCTGTAGGACAAAAAGACATTTACTTTCTTAGCAAGCTGAAAAGTAGAATCAAGCCTGCCTTGCAAGCTCTTCTGGGTTCCTCTTAAACAAGACATCCTGGGTTTTTTTTGGGGGGTAGGGGGGAGGATGGGGCATTCCTTTTATTTGTAAAATACATTTATTATTTATGTATGGGGCAGCCATGTACGACTCAGCATGAAGGTGGAGGTCAGAGGTCAACTCTGGGGGTCAGATCACTCTTTCTACAACATGAGCCCTAGGGATTGAACTCAGGATGTCAGGTTTGTCACCAAGTGCCCTCATCTGCTGAGCCATCTCTCAGCAGGTTCCTTTTTTATTTATTATTTTTCATTTCAAAAATATCTCATTTTATGTATATGAATGTTTTTGGCTGCATAGATGTCTGTGTGCCACTTGTGTGCCTGATACCTGCAGAAGCCAGAAGAGGGCATCAAAGCCCCTGGAACTGGAGCTACAGACAGTTGTGAGCTGCTGTGTGGGTGCTGGGAATTGAACTTGGGTCCTGCTAGGCAGGTCCTCTAGCGCTGAGCCATAGCTCCAGCTCCCAGACAAGCTCTGCTTGCAAACAAAAAGATCCATCCACGGAGGTGTACTTGTTGGGTGTATTGGCCAGATCAGGTTTTGTTCTTGGTCGGTCATCATGCTTAGTTTTAATAGTGTCTAAAAAGTGCATTTCAACAATAGGCACACACGCTTAAACAAATAAATGTAAAAAGAATGCTGTTTGTCGGGCTGGGTTGAATGGTGGCAATAGTTGTCATCCTAGTCTTGGGGAGGAGGTGAACTCAGGTAGATCAGGAGTTCTGGGTCATCCTCTACTACATGGAGAGTTTGGGGCCAGCCTGGGCTAGAGGAAATCCTATTTCAAGCCGGGCAGTGGTAGCGCATGCCTTTAATTCTAGCACTCGGGAGGCAGAGGCAGGAGGATCTCTGTGAGTTTGAGGCCAACCTGGTCTGCAAAGCGAGTTTCAGGACAGGCTCCAAAGCTACAAAGAAACCCTGTATTGGCAAACAAAAAACCCAAACAAACAAGAAAATAAATCCTACTTCAATCCCTTCCAAGGGGTGGTGGAAGAGAGATGGCTCAGTGGTTAAGAGTTCCTGCTGCATTTATAGAAGACTGGAGTTCAGTCCCCGCCACTCCTGCCAAGTGTAACTCAAGATCCAGGGGACCCGGTGTCCTCTTCTGGCCTCCACGCTCCCACATGTGCAACCACACACACAGATACATACAAAATGAAATGTACGGTTTGGATATGAAGGCCCCTATCAAATGAAGAAAATTCCATTCTGTTATTGACATGATGGGAGATTTTTTCCCCCTTTTTCTATCTTTTGGGGGGTGGGGCAGAGTGGGGTGCTCGTGGTTGAACTCAGGGTCTTGTGTTTGCTAGGCAAGCACTCTGCCAACTGAACTACATTCCCAACCCCAAATTCTGACTTTAATTTTTTTTTTAGTCTATAAAGACTATCCGGGCAGACGGACTGCAGATCACATATGAGGGGTCTAACACGGACAAGCCAAGCTTTGTGTCTCTGCACAGCCCAGGAGATCAGCAGGGGCCGTAGATCCACCACAAGCCAAGCTTTGTGTCTCTGCACAGCCCTGGGAGATCAGCACGGGCCGTAGATCCACCACAAGCCATCCACGACTGAAGGGCAGGCCTCTCTGCGCTGGGAGAATTGCTACCACCACTTCAGTTCTGTTTCGTCTTTTGTTTTACAGTGCCCAAAACAAAGATTCTGGCCACAGGGGGAGCATCTCACAATAAAGACATCTTACAGGTACGTGTGGTGGTGGCCCTATAACACAACGTCTTCTGTGTCACTGCATCTAGGAACTAGATGTCTTATTTGGGAGAACAAAGTCTCTCACCGACCCTGGTGCTCACAGATTTGACCAGAATGTCTGGCTAACCAGCCTGAGGGATTTGTTTCCTCGGGGCTGGGATTATAGTCACGTGCTGCGCAGTCAGCGGTTTTTACGTGGGTTTCTAGGGTTTAAAACCTGGTCCTTGTGCACATTTAGCAAGGTCTTCACTGAATGAGCCGTCTTCTCCCATCCATTCGTCTTGTGCCGCTTGAGGTTCTGGGTGTGATTTCCAGCACTGAAAATAAATAAATAAACTTGGTGAGGGTGTTTACATTGCTGTGATAAAACACCATGAGTAAAAGCAACTTGGGGAGAAAAGGGTTGGTTTCACCTTAGAGCTTATAAGTCCATTGCTGAGGGAGGTCAGGGAGGGAGCTAATGCAGGAATGGACAGGTGCTGCTGACTGGCTTGCTCCTTATGGCTTGCTCAGCCGGCTTTCTTATAGCACCTAAGAGCACCTGCCCAGGGGTGGCCCCACCCACAATGGAATGGGCCCTCCCTTCCCACATTAATCATTAATTAAGAAAATTCAAATGCCCCACTGTCTTGTCTGCAGGCTAATCTTCTGGAGGTATTTTCTCAACCCTGTTTCCCTCTTTTCAGATAACTCTAGCTTGGGTCAAATTAACAAAAAGCAAAACAAAATAGTTATAAAAATAGTCTAAAAGTTTAGGACAGGGTTGGGGGTGACTCAGCTGGCAAAGTGCTTGCTGTGCAGACATGAGGAACTGAGTTCAGATTCCTACCACCCCCCCCCAAGTCAGTCTTGGTCCTGTGTCCCTGCAGTCCCAGCACCGGGTAGTGGAGACAAGAGGGGGTGCTGGCTACCACTCTAGCCGGTTGTGAGCTGGTGGCTCTCAAACAGCGAGGCCAAGTGATTGAAGAAGACACCTGACGTTAACCTCTGGCCTCCAGTTGTACCTGCACACATGAGAACCCCCCCACCACACACACACACAGGGGTTAGACATGGTGGTGCACACTTTTAATCCCAGTGCTCAGGTGGATCTGTGAGTTCTAGGGCAACCTGATCGAAATAGTGATTTCTTTTTTGTTTGTTAGTTTTTTTACTTTTTTTTAAAAAAATTATTTATTTATTTATTTATTTATTTATTTATTTATTATGTATACAATATTCTGTCTGTATGCCTGCAGGCCGGAAGAGGGCACCAAACCCCATTACAGATGGTTGTGAGCCACCATGTGGTTGCTGGAAATTGAACTCAGGACCTTTGGAAGAGCAGGCAATGCTCTTAACCTCTGAGCCATCTCTTCAACCCGTTTGTTAGTTTTTGTGTTTGTTTTTCATGACAGGGTTTCTCAGTGTAGCCTTGACTATCCTGGGACTTGCTCTGTAGACCAGACTGGCCTCGAACTCACAGAGATTCCCCTCCCTCTGCCTCCCGAGTGCTGGGATTAAAGGCATGAACCACCATCCATCCAGCTAAATAGTGATTTCTACACCAGCCAGGGTTACATAGTAAGACGGTGTCTTTAAAAAATGAACAGGATGCCAGGCGGTGGTGGCGCACGCCTTTAATTCCAGCACTCGGGAGGCAGAGGCAGGCGGATCTCTTTGAGTTCGAGACCAGCCTGGTCTACAAGAGCTAGTTCCAGGACAGGCTCCAAAGCTACAGAGATACCCTGTCTTGAAAAAACAAAACAAAACAAAACAGGGCATGGTAGCTCATACTTGTGATACACTTACTCAGCAGGAAGATGGTGAGTTTGAGGTTAGCTTGGTTACATAGTAAATTTAAGGCTGGCTGGAGCTATATGGTAGGGTCTTGTCGTTTAAAAGGTACAGGGACAGCCTGGAGACTGGCCCTTCCTAGGGACTTCCTCTGGGTCATCCTGTCTCGTCACCGGCTCCACGTGCTAAGCATTCCAAAGGCAGCTGTGGTCGAATGGAAGCTATGGGAAAGAGAGCAGAGCCTGGAAGGTTCTCAATGATCTCTCTGAGTGACCACTCACCCACTGTACCCTCTGTCCCTCCCAGGTGCTCGCAGATGTTTTTGGAGCCCCCGTGTATGTCATAGACACCACCAGCTCAGCCTGTGTGGGCTCTGCGTACCGAGCTTTTCATGGTAGGTCAATGAATGGGGCGTGGTTGTCTCTGGAAGTGTTTAGGCACCACTGGGCATGAGAAGAGGGGGCAGGGGAGAGGAGGTGTTCTAGTTAGGGTTTCTATTTCTGTGAAGAAACACCATGACCACGGCAACTCCTATAAAGGAAAACATTTAATTGAGGTGGTGGCTTCCAGTTGCAGAGGTTCAGTCAATTATTATCATGGCTGGGAGCATGGAGGCATGCAGGCAGATACGGTGCTGGAGAAGTAGCTGAGAGTCCTACATCTTGCAGGTAACAGGAAGTGATCCAAGACCCTGGGCAGTGTCTGACACTGAGATGGTGATCTTGAGCAGTAGGAGTCCTCAAAGCCCTCCTCTACAGGGACACTTCCCCCAACAAGACCACACCTACTCCAACAAAGCCACACCTCCCAATAGTTCCACTCCCTTTGGGGGCTATTTTCTTTCAAATTACCACAGATGGCGTTCCCAGGGTGAGGGACCTGGGGTCTCGGGAGTGTGAGCCTCATTTCCATCCCTCCCAGCAGGCAAAAATGAACCCATGCCCTTTGTCCTGTGTTGTCTAGTGAGAGTGGAGAAAGGGAGGTAGATTCAAACTGGATGAGGCCTGATCAGAGTCAAGCCCTTCAGAGAAGGACCAAAAAGGCCACAAGGCAGTGCAAGACGTGGGTCTAGGTCTCAGCAGCTAGTAGGGAGGAAGGCAGTGCTAGGGATGAAGTCCAGAACAGCAAGAAACCAGGACAATGGTGAAGGCTCAGAGCCAGGGAGTCCAGAACCGTGGACAGCTCCCTCGACGCCCCGCTCTGAATGCTGTCTGCCTGAAACTTCAGACTGCTTGAAGACAGAGTTCGGGGTTAAGGTTAGCCCCCTCAGCTAGGTTGCTTTTCCCTGTCATCTGCCTGCTAGGGAACGCCTGTCAGATTCGTCTGGGGCTCCACCCTTTTCCCCCGCTTCTCAACACATCTCCTTAAACTTGATGCTTCTCTCAACACTGCAAATGGGTGACGTGCTTAGGGGTGAACCCTTTTATCCTCATCCCCCCTTTTTCCATCACCTCATGCAACTTTATGGAGCTAGAGCACTGGGGAATTTACGCCTAAATGTTAACTTCTTACCCCGTACTGGCGATTGAACCCAGGGCCTGGTGCTAGTCTGTGCTTGGTAAACTATATAGCACAAGCCTCTCTCTCTTTCTCTCTATTATATATACTTTTTGTTTTGAGGTGAGGTCTCACACAAGTGGGCTTTGAACTTGCCATTCTCCAATATGCAAAATTAAAAAAAAACCAAACACGCATTTTAAGTATTTAGCAGTTTTGCTGCCAATGACTTTTACCAACTCGTCTGAACTGAGCTAATCTGGCTTAAACGCTTTGTGGGTTTTCCTGTTCTGGTGCTGGGTTGAAGTCATGGTCTTCGCGTGTTGAGATGGCACCTGCTGCTGAGCTGCACTGCCCTGTCCTCCTGACAGTGTTTGTCACAGTAGCGGTGGCTGTCACACAAGCTGGTCAGCCTCATTGGTGAGGTGCATGATTGTGAGATGACCTTTCCCCTCTAGGCCTTGCAGGAGGGACAGGTGTGGCCTTTTCAGAGGTTGTGAAGTCAGCACCTCATCCCAGCCTGGCTGCCACCCCCAGCCCCGGAGCTTTCCAGGTGAGAAGCCATGGGATTTTCTCGTCGTTTGCCTTCTCAGTCTGGCTCAGGTCTTTTTTCTTCTCGTTGAAAGGCAAGGTTTTCTTTCTCATCTACATTAAACCTGCTGTACCTAACTAGAGGGAAATTTTACCTCGCCCCTTTCCTACTCCCAAGAACCTGGGGATTGATCCTAGGGTTTCAGCCAAGGGTCTCAGGCACATGGCAATGGAATTACATCTTGGCTGACAAAGACACCAAGGATGCTGGGAATTGAGCCTGAGTCCTCCTCAAGGACAGTATGTGCTCACTGCACCATCTCTCAGCTTCTCATTTTTCAGAAGTAAAAATAGAAACAAAATTAATTTTAATAATATATTTCACTTAATCTAATGTATCCAAATTGTCATCATTTTAGTACATAACTGCTTAGAGGAATTACTGATGTCATAATCCACATTGGTTTTGGAACTTTGGAAAAAGTTTTATAAATATATGTATTTATTTATTTAAATTTTAGTTTATTTTATATGTATGAGTGTTTTGTCTACATGTATGTTTATGCACCATGCACCTGCTTGGTGCCTGAGGAGGCCAGAAGAGGGTGTTGGACCCCCTGGAACTAGAGTAGACCATAGTGGGTGCTGGGACTCAAACCTGGGTCCTCTGGAAGGGCAGCCAGTGTTCTAAACCATGGGGCATCTCTCCAGTCTCAGAATTTACTTTTACTCTTTTTTGCTTTTTGTTTTTGTTTGCTTATTTGTTTTTGAAGACAGGGTTTCTCTGTGTGACAGATTTAGCTGTTTTGGAACTTGCTTTGTAGATCAGGCTGAACTCATAGAGACCCACCTGCCTCTGCCTCCCTGTGGTATTGGGATTAAAGGCGTGCACCAACTGCAGCAGGCTCAGATTTTACACTTTTAAATTGCAAGCTGCAAGCTCATGTAAGAGGCACTTCCCTTCCCATCTCCCAGCCCCATTCTCATTATGAACTGCTCTTTCTGCCCCTCCAGGTCTATGAGGCCCTTCTTCCTCGGTACGCTCAACTTGAACAGAGAATCTTGTCTCAGGCCCGGGGACCTCTGGAATGACTGTGTGCCCTGGCAGCCTGCTGCCTCCCACCTGCCCAGACTTCCCACTTGTCCTCTTGCCTGTGCTGACTCAGTGGCACACTCTTGTCCTGTCCTGGACCATCCCGAAGCTGGCCAGGACTCCCTGGAGACGTGTGGTTGCTCATGTCCCAGGGTGGGAATGCGCCATGTCCCAGGGTGGGACTGCGCCTCTCCTTTCTGTCTTTCAGGAGGCAGGAAAACAGTGTAGGGTGTGGCCATCAAAGATGCTCACACACACACACCTTCCGAAGTCAGAAAGAAAGCTCTCTTTCAGGACCAAACTCGGCAGAATAGGGAACAGCCTTCTTCCTGGATGACTACACCTCCTTGGTCCTCGCCTCTAGCCACCTCAGCCCACACTGGGACCACTCCTTCCATCCTTCCCTGCAAACCAGATTCTGGAGCCCCCACGTCCCCCTCCCAGCTGTCTCCACCCTCCTGTTTCTTTAGGTGCCTCGGGTCACCCAGCTGGGCCATCGCCCAGGCTAAACACTTTAGGGTTCGCCCTGTTTCATTGTAATTCACATAATGGCAAAATTGTGTGTTTCTTGGAGAAATTCTGGATTTTTTTTTCTTGAGGCACGGTCTCCTGCAGCCTGGCCACCCTCAAACTTTCTTTGCAGCTGAGGGTTACCTTAAACTTGTGATCTTCCTGCTACCATCTGCCAAGTGCTGGGATTAAAGGCATGTGCCACCACACCTGGTTTATGTATTGCGGGGGATCCCATGGCCCCTGCGTGCTGGGCGAACACTCTGCTAGCTGAGCCACACCCCCAGCCTGAATTTCCTTTTTATTTGTTCTCATGTCCACATATTATATTTGTCCAGATGCTGAGTCCTCCCTCCTTCCTCTTCACTCCTTTTTAGACTTCCCTGCTCCTTGCTCAGATAAGCCCCTTGTGACCTCACTCCTGTGAAAACCCCAGGGTTTTCCTCAGCCACACGGCTGCACAGAACTCAGACCACAGTGGCAAGATGTTGCAGACAGGTGTGAGATCACGTGGTCAGAGAACAGTGACTGCTGGGAAGTCTGAAGGACAGAGCATAGACTTGAAGAGCAGAGCATCTTCCGTCTGGAAGGGAAGGCTCGGTGTGTGATGGGCAAAGAAGCTGCAGGCGGCCATCATCGCCACAGCAAACACAAGCTGGAGGAGACGCTGCCGAGCCTCTTGTTGTAAATCCTGAGCAACAGCATCTGGGACCACAAAACAGTAAACTAAGGTGACATTCCGACATAGATCGTCCTTACAATAAATCAGACAATCGTGGAGGAAGAAAAAGATGCCATGGGTGACAAAAACATCCAAATGCAAACGCAGCAAGCTTATGGGGGAAGAGAGTGATCAAAAAGAACAGTGTCATGACAGATTTTGAGGCTGGACTACAACGTATGGAAGAGGAGGCAGATATGGCAGGAAATCAGTGAGGCACCGGAAAAGAAGGGAGAAGAAAAAGACAACACGGGTAATATTAGTGCTCTCAGCCACAAAAGACAAGATCCCTGTTGCTAACTGGAACTACCCAAAATAAAAACACAACTTTGAAAACACCTAAAACCAACCTCTGCTCCTCCCTCCCTCCCTCCCTCCCTCCCTCCCTCCCTCCCTCCCTCCCTCCCTCCCTCCCTTCCTCTCATCAACCTCTTTTTCTCCCTCCCTCCCCTCCCCTTTTTTACCAGTGTTGGGACTTGAATCTGTCACCCTGAAGGTGCTGGGCCAGCCCTCTCTTACTGAGGTGCACCACCAGCTCCACCAACTGTATCTTAAGAGTCCACCTTGTAGGGCTGGAGAGATGGCTCAGTGGTTAAGAGGACTGACTGTTCTTCCACAGGCTGTGAGTTCAATTCCCAGCAACCACATAGTGAGTCACAACCATCTGTAATGTCATCTGGCGCCCTCTTCTGGTGTGTCAGCATACATGGAGGCAGAATGTTGTATACATAATAAATAAATCTTAAAAAAAAAAAAAAAGAGTCCACCTTGTAATTTAGAAGTGTTCTAGCAGTGGTCTGGGATTTTTATATCACTCACCCAGCATCAAAAAGGCTTTCCTAGAACATAAAACAATCAACTGAGGGGGTCGGGGTGCCAGAGAGATGGTTCAGATTACACTGGCTGTTCTTCTAGAGGACCTGGGTTCGATCCCTAGCATCCATAGCCAGCCCCAGGAGATCTGATGGGCTCTTCTGGCCTCTTCCATACTCCATGTGATGCACAGACATACAGGCAGGAAAAGCGGTCATACATCTGAAATAAAAAATAAAGATTAAAAAAATTGAACTCAACATTCCAGCATACACTGTGTAATAAAGTGCAACATTCTGTGTTGAAAGTGGAAGTAAAATGTCCAGACCGAAGGATGCCCTCTCACGAAAGAAAGATCAGGTTGGCGTCAGATTTCTCCGCAAAGAAGAGAGCAATGGAACAAAACTTTCTTTCCCATGGTGTGTCTCAGACAGGTGTATAGCAATGTTCCATATTTCAGTGTAACACAGGTTAAGTTTATCCGGCAAGGTTTATCTTGAGTGGACTTGGAGCAGTTAGCAAAGGCCTTGGGCGGGTGAAGGGCTGAGCCTTTTACAGCTTGGCTGCAAGGACGAAGGTCTTTAGTCCCATTCTTACCCAAACGTCCCAGTAAACCTGGCTACAGAAGGGTTTCATGGTGACCCAGACATTCAGGCTTTGCGGCATCTTGGTAGGGCCAAGGCCACAGGCCACACCAGACTCTGCAAGATGGGGTGAGGTCACTGAGCACTCCTGGGTCCGGGAACAACATTTTCAAAGAACTAAGAAAAATATGAGGACCAGTGAGATGGCTCAGTGGGTGAAGGGGCTTGCTGCCGAGACTGATGATCCAAGTTCAATCCCCAGAACCCACATGGTGGAAGGAGAGCACCAACTCCAGCAAGTTGTCCTTTGACCTCCACACGTGTGCTGTGGCGATGTGCATGTAAGGAAAGGAAAACAGAGATTGCTCAGGTCTGCACCTGGCTAAGATATGCAAGTGTCTTAGCCGTGCCAGAGCTAAGGTTGACTCAAAGACCCTTAGCGTTCTTCTAAAAGACAGCTGTCACCCAACCAGGAGACGATGGGGGAACCTGAGCAGGACACGCGAGTGCCGGCGTGGAAGAGTGTCAAATGCACCGCTTGGACAAGGTTACCTACTAGCACAGGAAGAAGAAAGATGTCCTCGTTTGCTTTCTGTTGCTGTGATAAGCACCATGATCAAAGGTGACTTTGTGGAGTGAAGGGGTTAGTTTCACCTCACCAGGTCACAGTGATCCCTGAGGGAACTCGGGGCGGGAACTGTCGCTGAAGCCAGGGAGGACCGCTGTTGACTGGCTCCAGCACAGACTCACACTCAGCCCAGGCACACAGGCCTAGGAATGATGCCACCCACAGTGGGCCAGTCCCTCCCTGGTGAACCATCAGTCTCTCTCAGACATGGCCACCGGTCAAGTGGATCCGAGCAGTCCTTCAGCTGAGAGTCCCTCAGGTCACTCTAGACTGTGTCAGATTGACAGTTGAAGCCAGCCAGGACAGGAGAGGAGAAAAGAGCACAAAGAACTCATTGTGGCACCTGCAATTTTGAGGAGTCAAAAATACTTAAAATTAGCTGGGTGTTGGTGGCACGTACCTTTTCTCCCAGCACTCAGGAGGCAGAGGCAGGTGAGTTTGAGGACAGCCTGACCTATAGAGCGAGCTCCAGGGCAGCCAAGGCTACACAGAAAAACTCTGTCTCAAAAAAACAAAACCAAGAAAAAGAAATTGCAAACCAAATACTTGAGGCTTAAATATTGAAAAAGGCGAACTGACAATAGAACTATTTTGTAACATTAAGGGCATTAGTATTAAAAACTATACAATCAGTACAATAAAAAGATTTTAAAAATTAATAGAAATGCAGATCTTGGCATCAGGGAGATGGGTCAGTGGGTAAAGGTGTTTGCTGCCAGGTTCTATTACCGATTGCGATCCCTGGGTACCCATATGATAGAAGGGAGAACTGACTCCCACACGTTGTCCTCTGGTCCCACACAGGTTCCTGGCACATGAGTACCCTCATATGTACACAATGCATGAATGAATACATATAAAATGCAAACCTCCCCCAGTGTTCAAAGAAAAGGTACCCGATCATATAACATGCAGCACATGGTAACTGTAGCTTTTTGCACACAGTCAACAGAAGTTCTAGCATGAGTCCAGTAAGTAAACAGCCCTTAATCCACCTTCTAAAAGAAAAAAAATTTCTAAACAATGTGTTCCTGTCATGTTTAGAAGACACACACATAAAATCAGTGGTTCGGAAAGACTGAAGAGTGGCGTGGACAGCAACAGTCCAAACACAAAAGCCACAGGAAGCAGAGATGGCAATGCCCATCTCCAAGGGGCAGAGTTCTCGGAGAAGCACAAAGACCGCACTCCGCAACAGTGATATGCTAATCGCCAGTGCTACAGGCTCAGCTATTTGGACTGTCAGCTTGAAATGACATTCTGGAATCCTCTGCCTGCGCCGGAGTCCTGTCTGTGCACTAGCTTCCTTTCCCGTTAGCTGTGCCTTGTCAAAGCATGTGGCATTTGTGCAGCAGCAGCAGGGAAAACAGACAGCTGGAAATAACAGTTTTAACTTGCTCCTCTCTTATTCAAGGCTGAGGAAGACAAAACTATATGGAGGTTGTTCCTACAAAGTAGACCTAACTGTGTATTGACTGTTTCACTTTGTGTGTGTGTAGGATGTGTGTCTGTGTGTGGATGGGTGCATGTGTGTATGAATGGGTGCATGTGTGTGTGGAGAGGTGTATGTGTGTATGGATGGGTGCAGTGTGTGTGGAGAGGTGTATGTGTGTATGGATGGGTGCATGTGTGCGTGTGAATGAGTGCAGTGTGTGTGTGTATGGGTGCAGTGTGTGTGTGCATATGTGTATAGATGGGGATTTGTGGATGGGTGCATGTGTATGTGTGTAGACAGGTGCAAGTGTGTGTAGACAGGTGCATGTGTGTGTGTGTGGACGGGTGCATGTGTGTGTAGACAGGTGCATGTGTGTGTAGACGGGTGCATGTGTGTGTGGATGGGTACATGTGTGTGTAGACGGGTGCATGTGTGTGTGGACGGGTGCATGTGTGTGTAGACGGGTGCATGTGTGTGTAGACGGGTGCATGTGTGTGTAGACGGGTGCATGTGTGTGTAGACAGGTGCATATATGTATGAATGGGTGCATGTGTGTATCGATGGGTGCATCTGTGTATGGATGTGTATGTGTGTGTGGATGGGTGCATGTGTGTGTAGACGGGTGCATGTGTGTGTGGACGGGTGCATGCATGTTTGTGTGCGCGCACATGTGGAAATCAGGACTAGCTTGGATAGCATTTCTCAGATGCCTTGTACTTCCCATTTGGACAGGGACCGGCCATGAGGCTCCCAAGGATCCACTGATCTCCACCTCCCATGCCGCTGTCACTCACATTGCAAGCACAAGTCACCCTGCCCAGCTTTAATATGACGCTTGAGAATCAAACTCAGGTTTTGATGCTTGTGAGACCCCCAGCACAAATGTCCCACATTAAAATAGCAATATGCCTGTTCTCATGCATAAAAATTTACCCTTTAGAGTAGGCAAGATGGCTGAACAGTAAAGGTTCATGCTACCCAGCCTGGCAGCCTGAGCGTGACCCCCAGCCCACATGATGGAAGGAGAACTGGCTCCTAAAAGTTGTCTTCTGATTCTCACAGAAGCACAATTGCATGTGTGCACACATAGAGACACAGGTAAATAAATGTATTAAAATCACCATTTACCACACCATAAAGAAAACTTGAAATGATCATCACACCTGGCTAGAACAAAACTTCTTTTTTAAAGTCCAATTTGGAGAAAAACGTTTTTATTAAACTCCTAAGACAAAATAGATTTAAAAATATCAAGTCCCAGGCCTAGTGGTACATGCTTTCAACCCAGCACTTGCAGGAGGCAGAGGCAGGTTGAGTTCCAGGCCAGCCTGATCTACACAGTGAGTTCCAGGACAGCCAGGGCTATATAGTGAGATCCTGTCTCAAACAAAACAAAACAACAAATTAGAGAGGTGGCTTGGTGGTTGTGGGACATTTAATTTCAGTGTGAACCTTTGAGACTGTTAATAAAATTAACCTTGGATTAGGGGGTGGAGTCTGTGACTAACTAGTTGACAGGAATTAGCCAGAGGGGCGGAGGAGCCAGGAACATGAATAGAGAGACACACAGGAAGGAGTAGGGAGGGAGGGACTTAGAGATTCTCGGTCTTTTTTGGTTAGAGACAAGTGGAGAGATGCTTCTCTTGTTTGGTCTCTGGCCAAAACGGAAGGTCAGCTGGTCACTTCTTAGCGTCTCTGATCTGGTAGGTTTTCACCCCAATATCTGACTCTCGAGTATTGGTAAATAGAATGATAGAGACTTAGTTAAAACCAACATTTGGTAGCCATGACTGAGCCAGTGCTACCATTGGCAGGATTGGAAATTCCACCAGGCTGAGATCTGAGCCTCTGGGTGCTGACTGCAGGACCATGGGGTGCAGGCAGTTGTTAAAATATCAATAGATTCAGGTGTGGCTGCTAAGACAACAGAAAAACTTGGTAGTTAGGAACTCTTGTTACTCTTCCAGAGGACCCAGGCTTGATTCCTAGCAACCAAACAGCGGCTAAGAATGGTCTGTAACTCCAGTTCCAGAGGATCTGACACCCTCTTCTGGCTTCCACGTGCACTGCACTACAAATGAATAAATCTTTAAAAATCTATAACCCTCCAAATGTAATTAACAATTAACAAATGTAATCTATGGCACATAACTAAAGCAGTAAGTGAAAATATAGCTTGTAATATGGAATACTGATAAATATGAAAGAATAAAATTAAATGAGTCAGGTATGTGTTGGTTTGAGTGCAATTGGCCCCCATGATCTCATAGGGAATGGTATTATTAGGTGGTGTGGCTTTGTTGGAGTTGGTATGGCCTTGTTGGAGGAAGTGTGTCACTGTGGGGGTGGGCTTCGAGGTTTCTGATGCTCAGGATGCTGGCCAGTGTCTCAGTTGACTTCCTGTTGCCTGCAAGATGGGGCACTCAACTACTTCTCCAGCCCCATGTCTGCCTGCATGCTGCCATGCTCCCTGCCATGGTGATAAACCTCTGAAACTGTAAACCGGCCCCAGTTAACTGTTTTTATTATAGGAGTTGCCGTAGTCATGGTGTCTCTTCACAGCAAGAGAAACCTTAACTAAGAGAGGTAGTACTTTCTTTTTATTTTTTAAATTCTAGCACTTAGAAAGCAGAAGCAGGTCAATCTCTGAGTTCAAGGCCAGCCTGGTCTACAGAGTGAGTTCCAGGACAGCCAGGGCTACAGAGAGAAACTCTGTCTCAGAGGGGAGAGAGAGAGAGAGAGAGAGAGAGAGAGAGAGAGAGAGAGAGAGAGAGAGCTCATTCTCATTGCGTGCTAAATGAAACATGATTCCTGCCTTCTCTCTGGCATATCTGGATTTCTGCCAGCATTATTCTCTGAATAGGGACCATTATTTAGTGAAATGCAGGTTCCTTGAAAACAAACTCCATGAATCCATGATGGTTGATCTGATAACCAAGATGGTCATTAAGATACCAATGGGTGACCGGAAGGATGGCTCAGTGGTTAAGAGTGCTTGCTGCTCTTGCAGTAGCCCAGAGTTCAGTTTCCAGCTCCCACAGAGGATGGCTCACAACGATAACTCTATCTCCAGGCCAGCCTCTGGTCTTCACAGGCACACGTGCACAAATGTGCATACATAGAAGTAAAAAAGAGAACAGTGAGTGGGTAGCATGCAGGAACCCTGTCCTGGCAGGTCAGGGTTCAGTGGCTAGAAGTGAGCATGCTACCCAGGTTAGTTCACTGTTTAAAAGTTTGACTTTATAAAAAAAATTATATTTAATATTTTCAGCTTTGGTTGGCTGTTAGTAACTGATAAAATGAAAAGAGAAACCAAGGTAAAGGGGAATTACTATAATGTAATATGAGCATCTTTTTACTTATATTTTATTTTTAATTATGCACGTGTGTGTGTGTGTAGTGTATACATGTGTGTGCACACAGGAATGCAGGTGTCTGTGGAGGTCAGTAGAGGGCATCAAATTCCTTGGAGTTGGAGTTACAGACATGCGTAAGTTGTCTGGGAACCACATGCAGGTCTTTGCAATAGCAGCAAATGCTTTTAACCACTGAGCCATCTCTCCAGTCCCAGAGTTCCCTCTTTTAAAGATTCACTTCAGTGACTGTTTATACTCAGGCCAGAGATATGGCTCAGTGAGTGCAGGGACCTGATGCCAACCCTGAGGATTTGAGTTTGAATCCCAGGACCCACACAGCGGAAAGAGAGAACCAACAGCAGCTAGCTGTTGTCTGACCTCAGTGCATTCTCTCTCTCTCTCTCTCTCTCTCTCTCTCTCTCTCTCTCTCTCTTACATACGCATACTATATAAATAAGTAAAATGTAACACAGATTTAAAAAGAAATAGAAGATACTCTAGCAACTTGAATGGGTGCATGTGACCAGTGAAGGCTCCATTCACTGCTGCTGAGGCAGTCCAGATGTGAGACATAGGCGGATGTGGTACAGCACACATGAAAAACAAAACAGCTGGATGTTCGCTGTATCTTTGAGGCTTACTGATGGACTGAACACGGGACATTCAAGGGTGACTCCGAATGCTTTGGTATGAACAACTGATGGTGCCATCGATCCAGACAGGGACGGGTGGGGAGGAGCAGGTTTTCAGGGGAAACATGGGAGTTCCCTTTCTGCTGAGTCAAACTCAGGACACCAGACAGGCTGTCGAATGCAGCTGTGAAGCTAACAGCTTAGATAGGAATTTCGATTTTTCCAGTAATACCAGAGCAACATTTTGGTGTGTGGAGATTTTGGACCCCTTGGAATTATGTGACATATAGCCTGGTGTGGTACAGAAACTGGGGTGTAGTGGAGTTGGCAGCGTCCTCCTAACGTATAGAAAGCCCTGGTTTGATCCTCACAGCATGTCACAGAGAGTGAATGACTTCAAGGTCATTCTTGGAAGTGAACTGTATAGGAGGCCAGCCTGGGCTAATATGAGACCCTTTATGTCCCGTCCCCGTCCCCAATAACTCTTTCTCCCTCAGTCTAGAACCAGCCAGTCTGATTTTTGGCATATGGATGATGGCTCTTTTTTTCCAATACGGAAAAGATAACTAATGCTTTCCCTAATACACTGGGTCTATCATGGTAGGCTTGCTTGAGTCTCTACCATTTATTTATAAAGTGCAAAGCAGGGGCTGCAGAAGCAGCTCAGCTGTTAACAGAGTTTAGCTGTCCCTTCAGAGACCTGAGTTCAGTTCCCAGCGCCCACGGGGTGCAGCTCATAACCACTTAGCCCCAGCTGAAGGGGATCCTATGTCCTCTTCTGGCCTGCTTGGGCACCTGTATGCACACGGGCATACCCACAGACACGCACATATATACATACGATTAAAAATGAAATAAACGTACTTGGAAGGCAGAGGCAGGCAGATTTCTGTGAGTTTGAGGTCAGACTGGTCTAGTGAGTTCCAGAACAGCCAGTGAGACCCTGTGTCAAGAATACCACCACCATGACATGGCTACCATGACTAATCATCATCATCATCATTATCATCAAATAAATTGTGGGACTGGAGAGATGACTCAGCGGTTAAGAGCACATGTTGCTCTTACGGAGGACTCACGTTCAGTTCCTACCACCCACAAGCTTGCTCACAACCATTTCTAGCTCCAGTTCCAGGGGCTCTGACGCTTGCCTTCTTCTAAACTAGCAGTAGGCATACACACGGAAACATACATACACCCAGGCAAACACACAAAATAAAATAAGTAAAAAAAGGAAAGTCACAGAAGGATGGAGGATAGCTTGAGGTCATCTGGGGTTTACACAGGCAGAGGAAAAAGACAAAACAAAAGGGGCGAAGGCGGCCAGAAGTGGGCAGGGCAGGTCATGGTCTTAGCAACTTGGGAGGCTGAGAATCCCCGACTCAGAGACAAAGCTGCAGTAGTGACAACCTACACAAATCTTGGAGTTTTGTCTAACGCTGTCACTTTCATAAGGCGAAACTGAAGTTCAGACAGTTGAAAGGACTCAGACTCCTCGGCGCCACCTTCCTCCCGGCTGCCCTTGCCTAGGACTAACCTTGGCAGGTATCTGAGGTTTCCAACGCCCGCCTTTTCCCTGAGCTGTGACCAGCTTTCCCAGGCTAGCTGGGAGCCCTGCTACCCTCACAAGCTCTGGTTGTGTAATAAGGAATGTGCAATCTGAAATGGAGGAACCTGCTCTCTCTCTCTCTCTCTCTCTCTCTCTCTCTCTCTCTCTCTCTCTCTCTCTCTCTCTCTCCGTGAAAAGAGCAGAGACGTGCATGTTCTGGACAATCCTGAAATGGGTGGGAGGACCGTTGCAGGTAACCCTGGAAGGGGGAGACGGAGGAGGTGGGACAACTCCTGAGGACCCCTGAGGAAGCAGGTCGCCAACAGCTCTTTCCCACCTGCTGCAGCTGCTCTGTGGGTCCTCCTCTGCTTTGAGATAGCTCTCAGTGTGTTCTGGGGGACTGCTGCCAATTCAGACTTCTGCTTTTTTCTGCCAGTTAATTAGTCCATCAATAAAGATGCGCGGGAGCTGGAGGACAGAGGTGTCCGGGGGCTACCCACTCACTCAGGGGTCTCAGAGGAGTATGCATCCCGCAGCGTGGGCGCCACAGTTTCGGGTCGGCATCAAGGAGGATGGTTACGGGCTGTCCCAAGTCCGCAGCCAAGTGGGCCGCAGTCCAATCCCACCAGCTCCGAGCGCGCGCCCTGCCTGTCCCTAGAGCCGGTGCAGCACGCGCGCTGCCTCCCGAGGGCGCGGGCTGGGGGCGGAGCCTCGGTGTTGTTGTTCCTCTCCGGCCCCGCCCCAGAGGGGGGCGCGGACCACGCGGCCGGAGGACCCGCCTCCCCTCCCCCTCCCCGCCCAGCTCGCCCGCCTCTTTGTATCCAACATCCGGGTTTCCCCGCTGGCTCGGCTCCGTGGCCACCGCTCAGGAGCCATTTTGGACTCGGTTCAGCTCCCCTCCCCCATCCCCCCGTTCATGGCCCCTCCGGACTCGGCCCCTGCGCCCGGGGCCCGGACCCAGCCCCGTTGCGCCATGCCCGCGTCGGGCGCGCCCTGGCCCGCGCCCCGCCGCCGCCCCCCGGCCCCCGCGTCGCCCCATAGCCCGGGCCGCACTGCGCGCCGCCCGCAGCGGCCCTGAGCCCCTATCCCTGCTCGCTGCCTGGGAACCGAAGCGCAGAAGCGAGCGCGCCTGGAAGCGAGACCCAGAGAAGGAGCGGGAAGCAGAGCGCAGCCGCCGCCGGGCCCTGCGTGCCCCGGGAGCGCAGCGCGGCCCTGCCCGCGGGCTCCGGGTGTCCGCGGGGCGGCGCCGCGGAACATGACGGCGCCCTGGGCGGCCCTCGCCCTTCTCTGGGGATCGCTGTGCGCCGGTAAGGACCCGGCGCGGCGCGGGGTGCGGGGACCCGGGGCGCGCGGTGTTTACCAACAAAGGGCGGCCCCGCGGCCTCGGCGCCGCGCCACCTGCCTGGGATCGGGGTCGCGCGGGGCGCTTGGCTCGCGATCGTAAAGACAAGCTCGCCCGTGCGGTTCCTCCGCACGATTCTGGCTCGCGGAGGCGCTCGGGGATGGGGGACCTGGAGCGTCAGGGTCGGGGTTCAGGTTCCGCGGGCTCGCGGACCCCAGGAACCCAGCGAGGGAAACCTGAGCGTGGGGAAAGCGGCCAGGGTGGCCGGGCATCTAATCGGGGGGTGGCTGGGATGGGGCTGCTCGCCCCTGAGAGGCAGTGTCGCAAAGCAAAGCGGACGGCTTTTTACAGCCTGTTCGGAGCCCTCTGCACTCCGTCCCGCCTCTCTGCGTCGCTATCCTCGTGCAAGTGGCTCCTACCTGCACCCGCTTTCCTTGCAGCGGGCTACAGATGCGCCCTCGTGGGACCACTTTTGTTTTGGGCTACTGGGAGTGGAGAGGAGGTTGAGGAGGCGAACCAACAGGTCTCAGGTTGCTCCGGCCGGCACGTGGCGGGCGTGAGTGACCCGCGCTCAGCCCGCAGGCGGCTGCGGGATGAGGGTGACTGGTGCGCGTCTGCTTGGGAACGGGACGTGTGGGTGTGCGCGCGCGAAGTTGTGCTGGGAAAGCGCTTTCGCCTCTAAAGCTCAGGCACGGATTTCTCTGTCCCGGTGGTGCTGAAGTATGCCCAACTCTGGTAGGAGCTCCCGGACGGGCTTGGGGCAGTCCTGGGAAACGCGGACAGTCGGGCATTGAGACTCCAGAGAAAAGAAAGTGGTGACTGGGACGGCTGGTGCTCGGTGGCCGGGGCTTTGGGTCCTGCGCGTCTTTGTTCCCAACCCCCATTACACATGCAGCTCGGGTCCCCTGCCGCCCGAGGTGGCAGCAGCGCAGAGTCTGGGAAATCCGCGAGGGGCGGGGCCCGGAGTGCAGGGGAGGGGCTGGGATCCCCCATGCTGTTGCGGGGGTGGGTATCCCAGATGGCCATTGCACTCCCCACTGGGATCCCCACCCTCAATCTGCTCCCTTCTATTGCAAGGAAGGGAGGCTTAGCAATTAATTCCGACCCTGAGAGTTTTTGCACGAATCTGGGTGCGGTGGAGCGTGAGTGCACGAGCCACAGGCTAGAGACCACTTCTTGGCTACCGGAGCACACTGTTGGGAAGCGGTTTCGATGCTGTGCTGGAGTGATTGAGGCGTAGCAAGCGGTGTCTCAAGTTGAACATTGTTTCTTTCTGCCATTCACTGAAGTGTTGCTCTTCTGGATTTCCCCAAGAATGGAGGCTTGGAAGTGATGGAAAACATTGCCTGCTTTGGGGAGGGCAGCTGTGGACTGATCCAAGGGTACATAGCAACCCCCTAGCTGCTTCTTGATCGCCCGGGTTTCTACTCCCGATCTGCCTTGTCCCTTTCAAGTCCAGGCCTGTAGAAAGGGTGCTCTCAGGACAGTGCGCCTCAGACTCGGAATCTGGACATCACGACACCAGTTAGTCCCAGTTTGAGTTCATCAGTTACCTCCCATCTTGGGGCAGGGTGAGAGGTGGTCCCATGCGCTGTGTCTACTTTCTGTTTGCACTGTTTGGCGAGTGAGTGTGTAGCAGAATGCCGAGAGGCATTTGTTCTGTGTCAGAACCTGGCCTCCTCCCTCGGGGAAGGTAGAGTCACCTGTTGTTGTCACACTTCAAAGTGGCCACTGCTCTGTCTTTTGAGGAATTAGAGGAGAGCTTCCCCAGGTCCTGGTGGGGCAGAACTGGCCCTCCTGGCTTCAAAACGGTCTCTCCTTCGTGTTCCTGGCTCTGCCTTCAGAATGACCAACCCTGTGGTATAAAGAGCACTATACTTGTGCTGCTTGCAGGGGCCTAGGGACATGGACAGGTACATTTAAGTTAAAAATTCCCAGTAGTCGCATTAGTAAAAGGAAGGAGAAATAGTTGTGTCTTAGTGTGTTCTGGCTTCCCTAATACCACAGGACTCTGTGATTCAAGCAGCAGTATTGGGGCCGGAGAGGTAGCCAGCCGGGTGGCTAAGGGTGCTTGCTGCTATTGCAGAGTCCTGACACCCACATGGTGACTCATGACAACCATCTGGGACCCCTCTTCCATCAGGGACCCATGCTCTCTGGCCTCTGAGAGCACCAGGCGTACACATGGTGCACAGACATAACTACAGATGTAACTCATAATAAAGTTAAAACAGCCATGTAGATATAGATATATATGCTGACATATATAATTAAAAGTCAACAGTGCTCGTTCTCACTTGGTTCTAGAATCCAGGCTGGGGTGCTGGGATGGTCGGGTCTGCCCTAAGAGTTGTAGTCCTACAGTGAGGGTTCCACCCTCATGGTCCAGCCCAACTGTTACTGCTTCCTCAAGGTCCCATTACTGGTGGTTATGGCGTCCTGTATGAATTTGGGGGTAGAGACTTGATCTTTTTCATATTTGGTGGAATTAATTTAATTTAAAAATTGATCATTTCAACATACAATCACCATTAAAACAGTTAAAGAGACTTGAAAGATTTCTTTAACTTCAAAATACAGTGTGAGCATGCCAGTTCCACGTTTGCACACCCCAGGTTCTCTGTAGTCACACTTGGCTAGTCGCTGCCGTATCGGACAGCACAGGCTGAGAGGGAAGACAGAAGTGATGTTTCAATCGGCGGATACCTCTGGAAGTCTTCCTGGCTCTGCCTGGCCCCTTCATCCTTGGGTGCCCGGCATTCGGCTCTTGCATTGCAGGGAACATTGCACATTCTATTCTCGACATCTGTTTCTGTGTTTGGGGCTCAGAGCAGAGCCGGAGCCAGGGGCTGAGAAGGCTCCTATCAGGTCCTCACTGCCCTGAAGCATCCTAATAGACTGACCATTGACACAGAGAGATTTCTTTCTCGTCCATTTCCTCGTGGGTGGAGGTTTGTATGAGAGAGTAACCTTCAGTCTTCTGGTCCCTGTAGTGGGAGAGGCCAAGGGCTACAGAGTCATGGAAGTCCCTCCCAGGAGAGGAAGTCCCCTGTTCTCTGTCTTGTCGGTGGTCATTTCATGCTGCCTGCCTATCAGGCGGGCACGCCCTTTGGAAGGAGTGGGTGCCCTTCTCAGCCTTCAGAGGCTTTCCATGCAGACCCTGTTGCTGGGTGGAAACTTCACGTAGACCCCTTTGCCTGCGACCTATCTAGGTGGACTTTTGTAGTCCTCTGCTGTTCTTCTTGGCACCCAGAGACCTACAAGCCTCTGCCCTTGCCCTGGCAGTTACCCAGGGGAGCCCCTGGAGGACCCGTTGCTTTTTGCCATGTTGCTCTGAGAATCTAAGAAAACTGAAGAGAAAATATAAACCAGTGCCTGCATGGGTACTTGTACAGGTGTATGTGCGTGCCTTTCTGGACTCCGTAAAATCCTGACTTCCCCGCAGTCAACCCTCCCAAGGGGCAGAGGGGCAGCCTGTCCGTAGGAGGTTGTGTACATTGGAATTATTTCTCTCAGTACCCCTGCTTCCTCTGTTCCGGCCTGGAACCTGTCCCTGCATTTACTGCTGCTACTCGGGGTTCTGCCCATCACTCTATTTCCTTGGTTTCTTCTCCATTCAGGAAGCCATCTCTCTGAGTGCCTATGTACTTAGCCTCTCTACTTGGGAGGTCAGTAGGGCAGATGGGACCCACGGGGTATCAGAGCCTGAGTTCAGAGCCACTCACAGATGCTAACCTGTTGCCATGGCCTGGGATGCAGTGGATGAAGGGAAAAGAGCTAATCTGGACCATTTGGGACCATTCATAGTTATCCATACCCCAGGCTTGTGTGTGTGTCTGTGTGTGCGTGCGTGCGCGTGCACACGTATAGGTGTGCGCCTGTGTACGTGGGTTCTGCAGAGACATTTCACTGGTTGGTCCCTGCTTCATTTTTGAGATCTGAGATCTCTCTAACCCTGGAACTCACCCTTAAAGCTAGAATTACAGATGCTTGCTACACTGCCTGGCTTTTTATGGAATGCTGGGTATCCAGGTGGTCCTTGTACCTGTATGGCATGCATTACCAGCTGAGTTGTCTCCCAACCCCTAGACCACACTGAGGAGGCAGCCTGGATGGACATTCCTGGCTGCATGGGCCTCTCTAGAGCAGGGTTTTCCAGCCTTGCTCACCATGAACATCTGTATCTGTGGGTTCTCTGTTTACATGGGGAGGGATGGGGACAGTGGAGGTGAAGGGGCTGGCCTGTACATTGAAGATGCCTACTTAGCTGCATCTCTGGCCTCTGCTGGCCAATTCCAGTATCGCATCTCTGAACATGGCAAGTGAAAATGACTCCGGGCATCGCTAAGTGGTAGGGGCAAAATCACACTTAGGTCGGTGGAGAACCAGTGCTCTAGTACGTCCAGCTTCTATGGGGGTAGACAGTTGTGGGAGGAGATGGGGTTATGGTTCAACAGTGCCATTTGTCATTCTCCCTCTGGAGTCAGGGAAGGAGCTGGGTTCACCCTCATAGGCCATTCCTGCCCAGCCGAGCCTGTTTGAGTGTGCATTTGGTTCAGAATCAATGGTTCCAACGGACCGGCTGCCACTAAGGAGAATCCTGGCGTCCTTGAGTTTTCCCAGAAGTGGTTCGGGTTTCAGGGAGGCGGCCCGTTGTGGGTGGCCGGGCAGCTTGCCCGCCTGCACCCGCCCACCTGCTCTGGCCTTTGCCTTGAGGCTGGCACTCTTGCCTCTCCCTCCCGCAAGCACAGAATGTCAGGAAGTGCCTGTTGCTGGGGCTCCGCCTGCCCGACACCCCCTCTCTGTTCACCTGGGAGCTGGGTGAACCCAGGCTGTACCTGTCTGCCGAGCCCAGGGGGTTGTAGCAGGATCCTGGCATGCCCTTCCCCCCGAGTGGGTCTGCCCTGTGGCGCTCAGAGGAGCCGCAGCGACTGTGGGCCTGGAATGACCAGGCCCAGGATGCCAGGGCAGGGGGGCAGCCTCGCCCCAAAGGTATGGGCTTGTCTTTTTTCCCACTGGGCTTGGGAGGTGTGTGGTGGGCAAGCCTTGCCTCAGAAAGGTGTAGTGGTATAAGCTGTGACAGACATGGTGGGTTTCCACAGAGACCTGTATGTTGGCCTCTGCAGGCCGGCAGCTCCTGTGGCTGGGCCATGTTTCAGGCTCCTTTTTATGCAGAGTTCTGCCGAGGATTGGGGGCATCCCTTTCTGACTCCACTCAGTAAGATCTTACTGTGCTTGGAGCTGCTTCCTGGTAGGCAGCAGGGTGGACTCAAACCGCCTCACAAGCCTTTCCAGCATTCACATTACCCTGTGAAGCGAGTGCCGAGGTGAGACCTAGGCTGTCTCCCCATGAAGGTGTGGTTGCTTTCCTAGAATTCTTGGTTTGGGCCCCTCCCCCCATGCCCTCACCAGTGTTTTGCTTGGGTCAGACACCCCTTATTCTTGGCTTCTTTTTCGATTCAGTGTGGGCTGCTCTGGCAGATGAGCCCTAGCCCAGAGGTGGCTGCTCCTGGCAGGCCCACTGGAGCTGCTTCTGGGTACCCAGGTTCTTGGTTTGGGAGACACGGCCGCCTTCCTCCAACCTGGTCCTTAAGGTCGGCAGAATACCTCCATCTGTGACAGTTGTGGGGACTGGATGGTCCCAGGGTCAAGGGTGCCTCCTCCTGGCATGAGGCTAGTCATGGCTAATGGCCTTGGGCGGCCCCACTCTTTCCCTCTTGCTGTGCGCACACAGGTTTTTCAGATCCTCTTGGGGACTGACAGCTCAGCCTGGTGTTCTCATTCATGGACACGTGACTCCTGAGTGCTGGGGCTGGAGAGAATGCCTGGCCCACTGGGCAGGTTTGCGGCCCCTCTCCCTTGGGAATGTTCTGGAGGGGCCTGGCCTGCTGGACAATGGGACTTCTCCCTGGCTACTTTCTGGGCTACAGCTGAGGTGTTTTTGTGGGCTAAGCCAATGCTCTTGTTTGTAAACGTGTTCCTCAGCAGACTATTTCGGTTCTACCTCTGAGAACCAAGGAGGCTAAAATTAGTTCTGGGAGGAAAGGGAAAGGGAAGGCTGTTGGAAACCCAAGCTCTTGGCTGGAAGGTGGAGGAGGCTGCTTCTCCATGTTTGTGGCCCGGTATCTGGGAGGATGACCAGACCAGCTGTCGTCTGTCCATCTAAGTAGAGGGAGGGATGCTTGACTGCCCTCCAGACTTGAACCAGTAAAGACAGCCGGAGGCTGACTGGAGTGTTCGTGCCGGGACGGGTTTCCTGCTGGTTGTGCCGTGGTGCACGGTGTTTCCAGGTATGGAGACAGTGCCGCCTGATGTACTGTTACTGTCAGCTCTCTTCACCGTTCACCCCCAACCTGTTACCTGCCCATTAATGCAGAAAGTTTTAATGAGTTCTCAAGCCCTGGGGCTGGCAGTTGGGCTTTAGGAAACTTTTCTTTTGTGTATTTGGGGGTATTTCCTTTGTATGTGAATTTGAAGTGGGGTTCGGTGGGAGCCTTGTCTGGCCCAGGCTCCTCAGGAGATCTAGTGTCTGCACAGAACACGTGGAGCAAGGGTCATCTGCCAAGTGGCTTACAAGTTCCAGAAAGTCAGGCTTAGTTGAGAAACGCAAGTGACCCCTGCCCAAGGGTGGGGCTGGACTTGCTTCCTCTACACTGAAAACTTTTGTACCCAAACCTTCTCTTACCAAGTGACTCTTAGCTAACCACTGTGGGGAGAGAGAGCACATGAGCCTTATTCCCCCCCCCCTTTTAATTTTTATAAAGTGTATAGCCGTTCAAGGAACACATATATTCAGTCGCAGAAAAAGCTGCTAGTAGGTAGAGCCAGGGTCTCAAGTTGGGTGTGGTGGTACGTGCCTATAATTCCAGTACTTGGGAGGAACAGGAGGATGAGGAGTTTGGGGTCAGCCTGGGCTGTGGAAACTCTGTCTCAAAAACAGAGAGTTCGGAAAACAAAAGCCTGGTGTCTCCTGAGTAAGCTCTCCTCCTTAAAAAGTTACTTACTTTTATACACATATGTTTGTGTGCACGCACGTTTGCATGTACAGACCCTGTAAGTTTCTGTGTACTGTGTGCATGCATTGCCCATGGAGACCAGAAGAAGATTTCAGATCTCCTATAATTGGAATCACAGGTGGTTGTGAGCTTGGTGATGTGGTGCTGGGATTGGAACCCAGGTCCTCTGAAAGAGCAGCAAGCACTCTACCTGCGGAGTCATTCCCCTGCTCCTGTCCCCAGCACTCTTTCTGAGACAAGGTCTCATGTAGTGCAAACTGCCTTGGAGTCTTGACGTATGATCCTCCAGCCTCCAGTTCCTGGGTGCTGTGGTTACAGGTGTGCTTCACTGTACCCAGTGTCTTTGCTGCTGGGGATGGGACCTAGGGCTTCATGAATGCTAGGCAAAGGCTGTCCCAACTGAGCCACCTTCTCTTCTCAGGTGAGTTCTGTGGTTGGTACATTTTCTTTCAGGCACCCCCCCCCCTTAGAGATATAGGCAATACTTAGAAAATAGTTTTATTATTTGTTTACATTTTAAAAATGTTTAGCATGTGTGGGAGGTGCCATGGCACGCATGTGGAGGTCAGGGACAGCTTGTGGGAGCTGGCTCTTTCTGTCATCTAAGTTCGTGGGTTCGAACACGGACTCACTGCTGCAGACATTGGCTGAAGTGTCAGCTACACGCAGAGGACTGGTGATGGCTGGAGCAAAGCCTGGTGCCCGTAGAAATGGGAGTAGAAGATGCTCAGCATGTGCAGGGCTCTGTGCTTGAGCCGCAGCACAAAAATTAAAAATGTGGGGGGAGGGGTGCTGCTAGAAAGATGGCTCAGTGGTTAGAGCACTGACTACTCTCAGAGGACCCAAGTTTGAGTACCAGCGTCCACATGGTGCCTCACAGTCTTCTGTAGCCCCAGTTCCAGGGGACCCAACGCCCTCTTCTGACCTCTGTGGGCACCAGGCAGTGCACGTGTTGCACAGACATGCATTCAGGCAAAGCAGCCATGCCCATAAGATAATGATTTAAACAAATAATCTGAAGAAGAATGCGCAGTTGCCATGAGCTAGCTCTTGATGTGTTTCCACGGACGTGGGTACACCTGTGCAGTTTGCCCTGCGATCAAGCATTAGACATTACAAGTAGTCCGTGTCTCTCCAAACTCCCTGTCCCAGTGACTCTTGGGATTGCAGTCAGGGCCTGGGGAGTGCCAAGCATGCTCTGAAGCCCCTCGTTCTGTTCTCATTGTGCACCCGTCTCCTAAGGGTGCTGCTTTGTAGACCTCAGAGTATACGCTAGCTTGGCTTGTTCTGTTTTACATGACCGTATTCACAGCTCTGAACAGTTTGTGTGTGGATCCATCTTACTCGCTGTGACTTTAACATCTTTTAAACTCAGATCCATGTACACAACCATTCTAATACATATATCCCCCCCTTTTTTTTAAAAAAAAATAGGGCAGGGGCTAGATCACCATGACTGATTGACTTTTGAGACAAAGTCTTACTGTAGCCTAGACTGGCCTGGAACTCACTGTGTAGCACAGGCTGGCCTCAAATTTGTGCTGATTCTCCTGCCTCTGCCTCC